AGGCTTCTGGGAGTTGCAGTCCAAAACTCCTGAGTAACCCAAGGTTAAGAACCAGTGCACTAATGCATACTAAGTAAGCATTTAACGTACTATTTTTAAAAAAAGATCTGACATTTCTAGACAAAGCAAAATGTGTGCTGATTATATACAGTCCCATAGCACTTAAAAGCATTCTCTGGGCGGTTTCCAATTTCATTATGAAGGACCATACATTGCTCCTCTCCTCCAGTGAAATGCGTACTTGGTTTACCGATCCAGGAAGGATGGAAGGCTGAGTCAACCTTCAGCCAGCTGCCCAGTGGCATAATGTGTGGCGGGGTCCACAGGGCTGGTGCAAAATTCTTAGGAGTGCAAAATTTCAAGGCCACTGGTGATGGGCCTAGGTACTTGATGAGGGGGTGGAGTGGGGCTGGAGGAGCGGGCAGTGACACACCCACCTAGGCTGTATTGATGCCTGGCCACCATACCACCCAGTGGTGCACAGTTATTTCCCCGTCAGCCCTGCTGCAGAACAGGCCAGCATTAGGCGTGAAGCATTAGGCCAGCATTAGGCCGAAGCCCCCACCAGCACACTGAGTTGCCCCACTTAGCAATGAAAAGGGGGGGTCGGGGCTGGCCTGCCGCCCTACCTGACCGCAGTTGAGGGCAACGCAGGCAGCTGTGTCGTGTGGAGAGACCATATGACCAGCCACCCTCTACTCCCTGGAGATGTGGCAGGCCAGCTGACCCAACCAAGTTGGCAATTAGCTGGCTACTGTTGGCTACTGAATGTTGGCGTGGATGGGGCTGCCGTGGCCCGAGTCCCTAAAAGGCCACTCCCGTTGGTGGCTGAACAGTGGAGACATGTGTAGACACATCCTGGCACATGGGAACCTGCAGATGCACAATATTTGCCTTACCCCAGGTGCTGGCAACCCACGCTATGCCATGGTAGGGATTGAACTCAGGTTGTCCCCAGGTACTGGCAACCCACGCTATGCCATAGTAGGGATTGAACTCAGGATGTGAAAAGAGTTTTGTCTGCAGTACTGAAGTTTATCCAGTAAACTCACTACTTTCCCATTTGTTCCAAAGCACCAGGCTAAATTAAACTACATCATTTACATCCATTTTTTTAAAGAACTGCAATTTCCGTGCTTTTCAATAAGCCATCTATAATTAATATGCTTTTATTTTAAAGGTTACTTACTGCCAGACAACCAGGAACATTAAAAGACGCTGCCTACCACGGATGACTTCAACGATCTTAACCATTTCTATTTAAGTGATCTCTAACGCCACAAAGGAACCACCATTCTTTAAAAGAGTGGAAAGTGTAGGCAGCATGGAACCACAAATATACCTGATACCACACCATGTCTCACATCTGTAATAGTGGGATAAATTTCAATTTATGTGCCCTGTTCAGTTGTTCCGTACTCAGATTAACTTGGGATGCTTAAAGGAGAATGGCTATCCCCTGCTCTTTCTGTTTGCTGCCTCTACACAAAAGAGTCTGGTTTTCCCTTTTGCTTGTAGGCCCTCCAAGCGAGAACCTTGGAAAATCAAGAGGTTTTGCCCTGGATGACAGCACCACCACCACAACCCATGCTATTCTCCTAATTACTGTGACAGGGGATTTGTTTCAGACCAAGACCATCCTGCAGAAGAGTTCTCTCTCTGTGGTCCAAACCAGAACTGGGTCACCAGACTTTGATTCTGTGAGAAATGTTTTACTAGGAATAGTTTACTTAAATCTAAACAACTACCATAAGAAGATTAAAACGTGGATGGAAACATATGGGTGAATTTCCAGCAAAGGCTTCATCAAAAAACCTCTGTACGAAAAATAGATGGAAAATTTGAACCAGCGCTGAAGTCTGTGTCACTGGCCTTGTTCAGTGTCAGTAGTAAAAGTGGTGGTAATAATAGAAAGAGGAACGTTCAAAGCAGTAGTAAAACTAAGGTGTGTTTGATAGCAACAGCATATTCGTTTGCGATTCCTTTTCTTATAATGATTCTCCTCCTGAGGAATAACTGCATCCCACGCACGCCACCAAGGATCCAGAGAGCGAGCTACAAGATCAAAGACATTCCAGATATGGTTGAGTCCCTGGCATCTCCAGAAATTTGCCACTTTGTTGACCAGGTTTCCTTGGAGAAGACATCAACTCACCGTCAGCTGATGTGATATGCCTGGATTGAACAAGTACAATTCTAATGCAAGAAAAAAGTAATGGTTATGAAGTCACTGCTATTGATTTATTTTTAGAAGAGGTCGCCATGTTTGCCTGTGCTAGTGTATCAGGCAAAAACAAAAGAAAAATTTAAAAAACGAGACAAAGACATTGTGGCACGTTAAAGACTTATATTTTAATGTGAACTTTTGTGATCTGAGGAAGTGGACTTGTCCACGAAAGCTGACATTAAAATACAGCAGTTAAGTCTTTAAGGTGGCACAAGATTGTTGACTTATTTATTGCGATCTAGATCAGAACACTGTGCCACAAGCATAACACAAGAACTGGGAATACGCACAGAGTCAATTAACTTAAGTTCATCCACAGACTAAACATCATATCACAACATGAACAAAGTGGTGAAACTTTTGCATTCCTGATTTTTAAAATACAAGTTCCACAGCTCTTTCTCACTGGCCATACAGGTTGATGATTCTGGGAGTTGTAGTCCAAAACATCTCGAGTGGCATTAAGGTGTGTTCTCCTAGCCTGGTCTTTGGAAGGCATGGGCAGATGTACCCATTTTACAGATGTAGTACAACAATTAGGTATAACTCTAAATAGTTCTGCTGTTTTCTGCCACCCTAACACGAGACCCACTCCTCCACCCTTCTGATCTTTCCTCCTGGACCACACACTTGAACACACTGAGAAATCAAGAAGCACTGGATGGAAAAATCAGGATTTTTGCTTGCCCCTCAAGCCTATCTGTAGGCAGAAACATCTCCCTGCAGACTGCTTACTTTCCACACGTTGAAGGCAAGGGAAGAGAGGCAAGGGGCCAGTCCCTCTCGAGGGGCAATGAGCTTATCTGGATAGAGAATGATTGATTACGTCTAAAGAAAAGAACCATTTTCTAGATGCATATTATATATTCTGCACCCCTCCGCTTTGCGGACCCAAAGTGCATCATCTCTGCTTTCCCCTTGCTGGAGACTTGACCGCGAATACAGCCTACATAATATTTTATGTGCCTCAAAAAAAATTCGTCCATACGATGATCCTCCCAGGGTTTTCGGGATGTAAAGGACTCGGGGGTGGCTTACATGTCCCTCCTCCTGGCGCTCGGAGGCTACCGCACCGCTTGCGCCCTGGTCGCACAGGTGTCAGGGCACCTAACTCCTTCAGCCACCCACGCTCCGCATGATCTAGGCTGCTCCTTCTCCTGGGAGGCATAAGGGGGAGTCGCCTTCCCAGCCACTAGTGCACTGTGTGTGTGTCTGTGTGTACACACACCTATATACAGTATATATAATGAACCTGCCGGGTGGTTTAGGCATCTCAGCTGCGCCCAGCCACTAGTGCACTGTGTGTGTGTCTCTGTGTACACACACCTCTATATATAATGAACCTGCCGGATAGCTGGGTGGTCAAGGCATCTTAGCTACGGAGCCAAAGCCTGGGAATTCAATTCCCCACTGGGCCTCTTTGACAGGGGCTGGACTCGGTGACCCATAGAGTTCCTTCCAGCTCCGTAGGACCAAGATGATGATTATGAACCCCGGGCGCGATTCTGGATTCCCATGCGTTTGGGTGCACAGGCTGCGCTCCGCCAAAGCTCCCCCGGCGACGAAGTTCTGACGGCGCCACAACACCTCTGTACTTATCGGTTTTGTTACACGGCGGCGATGCACCTTAACTGTTGCGCGTCAACTCGTTCAGTCCCTCCTCCGTCCCTCTTTCTCCTCCCAGGCACAAGCCCGAACGCCCACGAAGCGCGCAGCGGCACCGCAAGCCCCGGGTTCGATTCCGAGCGTCCAGAAACGGGGGCGGGGCGCAGGTCGTCCTCTGCCCTGTGGACCAATCAGGAGCCAGGGTGGGCGGGGCCGAGGGGAGGGCGCCTCCCCGAGCGGAGAAACTTGAAGGAGCGAAGTTGCAAAGGGGCAAACGAGAGAGAGCGTGAGTAATCGGTGGCCGCGCAGGCAGGAAAGGCGCACATGGTCGGGGCGAGAGGAGGCGCGCCGGCTCGGGGCATCAGCAGCCGCGATCGTCGACTCTTGGATCGCCTCGATCCTCCTCTTCCTCCCAGCCCGGCTTGTCAGGGAGACCAGCTGGTGCTCCGAAGACCGCTCGCCGATTGCCCGCCGGTGGGGTTTCCTCGCTGCTTTTCGCTCCCGGTCCCGCGGAGGTGGCCCCGAGGGTTGGGGATCGGCGGGTCGAAGATCCCCCGCGCGAAGCCCGGGAGAAGGGCTGCGCGCCGCGTGGGAGGAGCTGCCCTCCTGGATCGCTGTCAGCGGGGCTTGCGCAAGGGGGAGAGATCGCGCGCGCCTTTGCGCTTCCTTGCTCCTGACAAGGAAAAAAGCAGAACCGGTTCCGCTGGGCGCCAAGGGCTGGAAAGCCCCACTGGGGCAAGAAAGCGGATCGGGTTGCACGTTGAACTTTGGAGAGGGTGCAAGACTTTTGGTAGGCTTTCCCACCTCCCTTTTAAAGCCACGGCACACTTGCCTATAGGGAAGGCAACGCCCCATAGCTTTGGGGTGTCTCGGTGTTTTGTTTCTCTTGATCCTCGATCTTTTTCCTAACTTCTCGCCGGCCCCCTCCCCGCCCATCTGGACCTGCTCCGCTTTTGCCATGTAGCGAGGGGCGCAAGCCGGTGACCATCCCGGCCGTCATGTTCATCTTCGGGGTGGTGGGCAACCTCATCGCCATCGTGGTGCTGTGCAAGTCGCGCAAGGAGCAGAAGGAGACCACTTTCTACACGCTGGTGTGCGGCTTGGCCGTGACCGACCTGTTGGGCACCTGCCTGGTGAGCCCGGTGACCATCGCCACCTACCTGAAGAACGACGCAAGCCGGTGACCATCCCGGCCGTCATGTTCATCTTCGGGGTGGTGGGCAACCTCATCGCCATCGTGGTGCTGTGCAAGTCGCGCAAGGAGCAGAAGGAGACCACTTTCTACACGCTGGTGTGCGGCTTGGCCGTGACCGACCTGTTGGGCACCTGCCTGGTGAGCCCGGTGACCATCGCCACCTACCTGAAGAACGAGTGGCCCGGCGGGCAGCCGCTCTGCGAGTACAGCACCTTCATCCTGCTCTTCTTCGGGCTGTCCGGGCTGAGCATCATCTGCGCCATGTCGATCGAGCGCTACCTGGCCATCAACCATGCCTACTTCTACAGCCACTACGTGGACAAGAAGCTGGCCGCCCTCACCCTCTTCGCCATCTACGTCTCCAACGTCCTCTTCTGCGCCCTGCCCAGCATGGGCCTGGGCAGCACCAAGCTCCAGTACCCGCAGACCTGGTGCTTCATCGACTGGCGGACCAACGTCTCCACCCACGCCGCCTACTCCTACATGTACGCCGGCTTCAGCTCCTTCTTGATCCTGGTCACCGTGGTCTCCAACGTCCTGGTCTGCATGGCCCTGATCCGCATGCACCGCCAGTTCATGCGCCGCACCTCCCTGGGCACCGACCACACCGCCAGCCGCCTGTCGGACTTTCGACGCCGCCGGAGCTTCCGGCGCATGGCCGGCGCCGAGATCCAGATGGTCATCTTGCTCATTGCCACCTCGCTGGTGGTGCTCATCTGCTCCATTCCCCTCGTGGTGAGTAAGCCAGCCGTCAGGCCGGGGGATCCCGCTCAGGGCCCTCCTGTTGGCCGCTTCGGAGTTGTCTATCTCTCGCTCTCATTTTTTCCCCTTCTTCTTCTTTAAAACTTCCAACGCCCCCTTCTTCGTGGTTGGAAAGGTATGACTTTCACCACAGCGCTCTCTCTCTCTCTCTCTCTCTCTCTCTCTCACACACACACACACACACACACACACACACACACATATTTGGGGGTGGAAGTCTCCAAAATGTAAATTTGTCAAGCTGTAAGAAATCATACATGTAGTCCAAAGCTTTTGTTCCTAGAAAACAGATATATATATTTTAAAAATACCACAGGTGTCTTGCTTTTTACCTAACACTAATGGTTATTTTCGCATAAGAAACACAAGGCGGACCTTTGACCTGGCTTCTCCTTATTTGTGTTTACAGAAGCTAAAGAGGGAAGTGCATGTTTTACCTTTCTTCTAAAGGCAGGCCAGAGTCCCAGTTAAGGAGAGGGGACTGATTTAAGGCTAAGAAACAAAAGCACCTCCTTTGTGCCATATATAAAGTGGCAACAGCTGACTTAGTATACAAGCTACCCCACTCTTGGAAGAGTTAAGCTATGTTTCTTGATTTTAATGGTATACTCTTTGTGACTTTTGTGCTGTCAAGTCAGAACCAACTTATAGCAACCCTAATAGGTCTTTCACAGTATGCGAGATATTTAAGGACTAGTTTCCATGGTCTAGTGGGGATTTGAACCCAGGTCTCCTCCTTCCATTCTGCCCTTAAAGAAAGATAAAAATAGATGTGTAGCACAGTGTTCAGCAAAGCTCTTTCTCAGAATGTGCTTATAGATTTGTGGTGTGTTATGTGTTGTCAGCTCACATCTGACTTATAGCAATTCTAGTAGGATGTTCAAGGTATGGGAGATTTTTAAGGAGATTTAGCTCTGCTATCCTCCAGTGGCTAAGGAGGGATTTGAACCCAGGTCCCCCAAGTCCTAGTCTGTCACTCTATCCACTACAGCACATTGACTTGCAGACCTATATCTAAATGCAAACACCCGAGTAACCCAAGGTTAAGAACCACTGCACTACAGCACATTGACTTGCAGACCTATTATCTAAATGTGTGCATTATGTACTGTCAAGTGACTTCTAATTTACAGTGACCCTAATAGGCTATATGAGGTGTGCGACATGTTTACCTTTGGTACCGTACCCTTGTGAGTTTTTGTGGCTGAGTGGAGATTTGAAACCCAGGCCTCCTGGGCCAACATCCGCTGCACCACACTTACTCTGGCTGTAGGACAGACTGAAAAAAAACCCTCTTGGTTGTTTCCTTCACACCTCATAGTAAGACACAGGAATGTTGATCAAGATACTACCTAACTGGAAACCGGAGCTGTGAAAAGTTGCTTTTCTGGATGACAGTTTCCAGAATCCAGTGGCTGTGCTCTCTGGGAGATTCTGAGAGCTCCAGTTGAAAAATAAGTAATTTTATCAAGCTGTGCTTGAAACACATTGGAACTATAAGAGGTTTGGGACCAGTCCTTGGAGACTAACTCTATTTCACTCTGCCTAAGTGCTTATAGGTCTAGTGAGAGTTTGGGGAGACACTCAAGCACAGGATATTACAATCAAAGACTGCTAAAGCACTTTAAAATCACTCTCTGTAAGTCATATATGTGTATTATACAAATATTTCTGGATGGAAACTTCAGATTGAAAGATTTACAGTCGGAGTGCTAGGGCTGGCATAATCAGGATATACAAAGAATTGCTGGTGGTGCTGCTGTTAGGAGATCTACTCACTTCACAACCTTCTACTGAATAATAGAGATGAATTTACTGTATTATCATTACACTGATTGCTTAGAAAACTGTTATGTGCTTCATAGCAGGGAGGTGGAACAGGTCCTCATCTGCCCACGGAAAAGACCAACAAACTCTTTAATTAATGATCTACATCTATGTTCTCCTCCCCATTTCACTCCAGGAAAGGTGGAGAGGTATTTTTTAAAAAATAACCCAGCACTTCTATGCTTAGCTGGGACTTGCCTCCTTCACTGTAAAGTTACCAATAAAACACAGCAAACAGCTTTTTCTTGGCAGGAATATCTTCAACAAACTGGCGGTGCATACTTACAATGGCCTCGCCCTGTCATCCTTCAGGGCTACGGGCTTGTGAAGTGGAAATATAGAAAAAATCCAGGCCTCTTCAATGAGGTTTCTTGCGAGCAAGAGTCAGACTGAAACAGCTGCTTCTCAAGGGTGTTGGAAAACTAAGGGACTTTGTAATGATGGAGGTGGGGAAGGAGAGGAATACATGGTATTCAGAGTACATGGTATAATTTTACACGTTGGGCCAGTTTTGCTACATAACTAACATAACCCAGCTACGGATGCCTGGTCTGAGATATCCTAGCGAACCTTAAAATAGTCCTGATTGTGTTTTGCGGCATATAACTGTATTCCTCTACATGTCTTATTGCCCGCAGGGACTGTCCCTGGAGGATGTTTTGCCTGTGATAATTTTCTTAATTGTGCATCAGTTTCCGTTTCGGTGGTAAAGGTACATCTTATCACAAATTGAGGATGTGCAGTCATTTCTCTGCAGAACTCCTTGGAGCAAAAGAGACACTTGTGCATCCTTACTGTTGTTGTGTAGCCTGCATAATTAACTTGTAAACCACCCAGAGAGTGCTTGAAGCACTATGGGGCAGTATATAAGCAGCACACTTTTTTGTTATTTTCTAGAGTGGTGGCGGTCCCTCTTTGTCATGGCCTCTGAGACTTAGCCTCTTGCACTGTGAACTTTGTTAAGGCAGAAACTGCAGAAGCATCATGCAGAACAATACCATGTTGCCTATACAATCGGAGGGCACATTGAAAAGTATTTGCACCATTTTTAAAAATTTTGTTGTCCAAAATACAAAGCAAGTTGTCAGCGTGGTGATGAATATGCCTATTGTCCCAATTAATAATAAAAGTAAGGATAATAATGATGATTAATATACCTTGTGTATCTCATCGAGAGATAATTTAAAAATAAGTTCAAATACTTGTTGATGCACCCTCTTATGTTATCATCCAAAGGAAAAGAGTGCTTTATGAGTTGTGTATTCTTTGGCAAAAAAAAATTCCAGCGAGAGTAGAACCTGCTTACTGTTTTGCCACAAACCTTTTTTCTTCCAGTAGTGGCTTGGATTTGTAGGCCGTGCAGTAAGCCAAATATTTCAGCATTGCTATAATATGTGCAAGTGATCATTGGAGTACCTGCTCCTCCTGGCCCGCGAAGCTCTGTTGTACTGAGTGGGCAGCTTTGAAGCGTGCAGCACATTTCAAAGTTTTTGAATTCTGGACGGTGGCACTTCACAGTTGTGGCCTGGAAACAGTTATATTTTTGGCTTAAGCTCTCTCTCTCTCTCTCTCTCACACACACACACACATGTTCCCTACATGTAGCAAAACAGGCAACCAAGAGGAGCACTGTCCGAGTAGTTTGTATTTAACTTCATCCAGGGACATGTATTCTGTATTTATATTCTTGTTACAAACGATGGCAGGAGGTATTTACAGACATGATCTAAACTCCAGAGTGGCTTAGTTTGTAGCTGTAATACTTCATTCTTCAGGAGGTATTGCTTCTTAACTTTTACACTTTGGATAGATTGCTCTCAACAAGCCATCCTTAAATCTGCTTGCCAGCCCTGCCCTTTGGGGAACAGGGCACTTGGCACTTTAGAGAGCTTTCCTTTGGTCTTATTTTTGCTACATTTCTCAAGCAGGTAGTAGAAATCCTGATCCCTTCTGAACAACAACAGAGAACCCAGAGGTGGGAACAGTTACTTTTAAACTACAACTCCCAGGGTTCCTCAGCCAGGGTGACCAGTAGCTACACCTGGGATCCAGGTGTTGCAGTAAGATTTCCATTCTTTAAGAGGGGGCCTTCCATTTAATACCTTTTCCATATCCTGCACAAAGAGGAAGAGGTCCTACTTCACTATACCTGCCATATGATGCAGGGGACAGGGAGTGTATGCAGACTGGCATATAGATATGGTATATGGATCACTGAGGGTACGGTTTGGATTTTTTAAAAAAGAGTACATCTACATGTGTTTCTACTTAGATTGAGCCATCTTTCCTCTTTAAGAGCTGTCACACACCTTTCTGGCCCAGTGGTACAGCATGCATTCTTTTTGGCATGCTAGTTGTTTAGATGGGAGATAGCAGCCTGGATTTCCAGTTGTGGCTGCAGATTCCAAAGGAGAATGAAAGAGAAAGTAGGGGGTGGGGACAAGGGAAGGAAAGCAGAGAGGGGAGAAGGGAGAAAATGAAAGGACACCAACAGAAGGAGAGAGGAGTGATGTAAAAATAATTTCACTTCCCCATACCCTCCTCAGGGGAAGTGCTTTACTGACAGCTGATCAGGCTGCAAGGGGTTATTTGCTGTTCTCAAAATTGTTTGTGTTGGACAAGATCCAGGATGAATAGCACTTAGAAAAGTTACTTTTTTTGGATTGCAACTCCCAGGGTCTCAAAGTCCAAAAAACTAACACGTCCAAGCTCCAAGCAGATATTTTAATGTTCGTATTAAATCCCTCTGAAATTTTGAGACAAAACAGAACATGAAATAAAGGCTGTCTCACTTGTCAATTGGAAAAAATAGTTGACCACAAGATGGGAGAATCATGTAATCATCCATGTCTAAACAAGTATAATTAGACTAAATCCCACATACTTTTCTGAAGAGGGAAGAGATGTACCGATTGCAGAGCATATAAGTTTACTTCAGTATATTATGTAGTAACACTCTGTGTGCATTTGCCTCCATTTTATCCTTACAGCATCTCTGGAAAGTAATTTAAACTAAGAAAAGGGGATTTATCTAAGATGATCTCCTGGATGAGTGGACGTACGAATGCAGATATTTCTGGTACAAATCTGACTTGGTACAGTGAGCAGCCCAGATTAGATAATTAAAATCTTATAGAGAACTGGTA